GGTCATATGCATGGAAATGCAAGCCAAACAAAGAATCCATAGGGGAGGCTGTGGCGTTGTCAAGATCTTCCTTTTTTCGGAAGTGGACGATGATCCTCTTCAAATCGTTGGATCCACTACACGTGGCACGACTACCATAAGAGGAGAACAAGGAAAGTTGTCGATCAACCGCGTCGCACGCGTCGCTGTTCGAAGCGAAGTGATTCCAAAAGCCATCAACGTCATTAGGAGCGGCCGAGGCGTAGAAAAGTGTAGGTTGAGATTGTACTGCAGCTTGGGACGCGTCCGGAGAGGCAGCACGTTCAGGGAAGGAGACTGCGGGAGTAATTTCAGGGCTTTTGCCTTTATCGTTGTTGTTAGCTGGGGCGTGTTGCGAAGCATCGAGAGAGGAGGTATCGGGTTGAGAAGGTATCTCAGCGGAAGTTGTCTCAACAGGGCCAGGAGGCGTGAGAGGTTTATCAACATCCATGACAGAGTCTTCAGCACTGACTCTGGTACTTTTATTAGTAGAGGTGGTCGAAGGTGGAGTGTTCGAAGGGCCAGACATAGAGGAACCTTGACCAGAAATGTTGCCAGTTGGAGAGCTAGAGGCAGGACGTTTAGATGTAGTATCTTTGTTAGACTGGTTATTTTTCTTTTTGTTATCTTTACCCATTTGTAAAGTGTCGTAGTAGTTATCTAAAATAAAGAAATTATAAAGAAAAAGTAATAAAAAACTCCGAAAAAATTTTTTATTTTTTCGTAAATATTGTCAAGTGAGCAGAACGGGAGAGAGTTTAGTTTTTTTTTTAGTTTTTAGTTTTATCCTTTTCCGATCACTGGCTGACGAGTTATTCAACAAAATGTTAAACATCGGCATTATAATATTTCTTGATTTACGTTTACTGCGCCATTTAACATTTTGCTAGATTTCTCGGTACCTAGTGATTGTAAAAAGACGATTTATAGCTCGTTGGAATCGCCTCATCGAGACGAATCGAATGGTGGTAAGCTCATCTCTCTAACATCGATACATCACGAGATAGCCCATGGTCTGTCTCTTATACACATCTAGATGTGTATAAGAGACAGATTTTATACCATTAGATTCGTCTCATCAAGACGAATCGAATGGTAGTAAGATCGTCTTTCTAGGATCAATATTGGCAGAGTTATTACACAAAAACCATTAATATTTTTTTAATTTCGGAAATTAATCTAGTGATTGGATTTCGACGTATTTTATACCATTAGAACCGTCTCATCAAGACGAATCGAATGGCGGTAAGATCATCTCTCTACGATTAATATTGGCGAAGTTACGATACAATAAAGTTTTAAGTATAATTCTGGCTAAAATTATGTTAATTTTTGGCCGGAATTATGATATACAAATATAAGAAATTTTTTATATAGTCACATCTCTTTATAATCACCAAATATCAAATGTGTGACTATAAAGAGAGTTGACTGTATATCATTAATTTTAAAAGGTATAATATAAATATGATTACTTTAAAATTCTACTTTTTATTAAGCAAAATAATAGATGGTTTATAAAAAATTTTATATAATAATTAAGCAAATTTTACTATTACTTATTTATATATTATTTGGAATCCTAAATTTTTCTTCATTTTTTATATATTATTAAAAGGTTTAAAATTGTTATTTATTTATTAAAAATTTTAAAACTACAGTCAACTTTTTCTATAGTCACTCCTGTTATAATCACATTTTACTATATAGTCACACCAGTTAAATGTTCAAAACACTTTATTATTAAAATCTATTCTATATAGTCACAATAGGATCCCGAATATTACTAAAACAACCCAGATTCCGTGTACCTAAAATTTCAAAATGCGATATCTCTGTCAATATTATACCTAAAAAGATGATTTATATATTAAAATGTTCGTCTCGTTGAGACGAATCTAACAAGCCAAAGATCATTAAAATCTAATCACTGGATCCCGAGATAGAAAATTTTGAGTCTAAAATCTACATATAACTTTATACATTTGGAGCAGAAATTAATTATAAGGTTTATACAAATTCAGATCTGAGTTTTTTTAGTAATATTCGGGTCATGTCACAATCTATCTATAGTCAGTATCACATCTATCTTCAAAAATCTTATATTAAAAAGAACCATTTATAATTTATCCTTTTACTGTGCAAACAGTTTTATGACTTTATCTTTTATTTGTATTTTATCTTTGAAAATTTTACAAAATGAACAATATTAGGAGAATCCCAGATATCTCTTATAGAACTCACAACTGACTTTTTGCCAAAAAAGACCCAATTTGCTCTTTTTTTATTTTTCGTTTTTTGCGATTATCTCAGTATCCAATGATCCGATTTATGCAGATTTTTTTTATTTTATAAAGTTTAATGTAAGGTTGCCTGCCTAAACCTCTCCAAAATTTTACGATTAGTTTCTCCAAGATTTTACTATAGTTTTATTATAGTTTTGGCAAGATTTTGGCAGTTTAGGACCCTGAATAATACTGATATAACTTACAAATGGGTTTACGTAGAGTTTATTTGAAATTACTTGTTTAAACTCATAAATTGAGTTTGCGTAAATTGGTTAATTTTGGGATAACTCACATATTACATTTGCGTATAATATTGATAATAAAAATTAAGTTGTGCAATACCATTAAGGATAGGTTTATAATATATTTCTGAAATTTGCAATATTACGGATTTTGGTAATTAATTATACTGTATATATAGTAATAAAAGTAATGCATTTCACATTATTTTAATATTTTTTAATAGAAAAAAATACTACTTTAACAAAAAATGGTGAATTTTGCACCATTTTATTAACATTTTAATAGAAAAAAGTGCGAAATACACAATTTTAATAAATAATTGGTGAATTTTACATCATTTAATTAATATTTTAATATAAAAAAGTGCATTTTATTAATATTTTAATAGGAAAAGTGTGAAGCGCAACATTTTAACAAATAAATGGAAAGTTTTGCACCATTTTATTAATATTTTAATATAAAAAAGTGCGAAACACACCATTTTAACAAATAAATAGAGAGTTTCACACCATTTTATTAATATTTTAATATAAAAAAGTGTGAACTGCACTATTTTAACAAATAAATGGAGGGTTTTGCATGATTTTATTAATATTTTAATAGAAAAAGTGGGAAACACACCATTTTTAACAAATAAATAGTGATTTTTGCATGATTTTATTAATATTTTAATAGAAAAAGTGCGAAATACACCATTTTTAATAAATAAATGGTGATTTTCGCACCATTTTATTAATATTTTAATAGAAAAAAGTGTGAAACACACTATTTTAATATAAAATGGTGATTTTTGCATGATTTTATTAATATTTTAATAGAAAAAATGTAAAACGAATTATATTAGTAATAAAAAATTTTTTTGAACTAAGATTTGGATTTGCGTAGCGTTACTATAAAAAAAAGTTGCGTAGAATTAATAGTAAATGCATGCCGATTATTTGTGAGTTATATTAGTATTATTTGGATCCTGGCAGTTTTGGCATTTATAATAAGTTTTTTCAGGTTTCGCTTTTCTTTAGAGTTTTGCCAACTTTTTAATAAGACTTTCATATAGTTTCAGCAAAGTTTCACTATTTTGGCATTTCGCCAACTTGCCAAAACCCCCTAGTTTCTCCAGCAACCTTAGCTTGATGAGAGCTACAAAACAAAAAAAATTTGTACAAATTGGACTACTGGATGTCAAGATAATTGCAAAAAACTGATTTTTTTTTTGTGAAATTTAGGTCAATCTGCAAAAAAGTTGTCACTGAGTTGTATATGTAATATCCAGGATCTTATATTAGGCTAAGTAAATAAAATTTTTCATTTCTCATGAAAAATAATTCTCAAATCTCACCCGGCCGTCCAGTAAAAAAAATTATTTTAAAAAAAAATTTAGCAAATTTTTAAATGTTGATTGGCCAATTAAAAAAATAAAATTTTTTTCCATCCAGTGACCTGGATGAAAAATTTATATTACTTTTGATAAATTTTTTTTCCACCCAGCGATCTAGGCAAAAAATTTATAATTTTTTTTTTGCCCCTTAAACTACGATTAGACAAAATGTGAACTTAAAATTTTTTTTTCAATGTTCTTTTTTTTTTTAACAAAAATTTTATAGTTCTTTTTATTAAATAAAAGGTTTTTTTAATAAAAATTTATAGTTTTTTCTTTATATATTTCAAAAAATGCCTTCTGTAAGTATAATGATTATATTAAGTGATTAAGGTTGCTTGCCGAAACCTAAGGGTTTAAGCAAGATGGCGTTTTGCTGAAAAGCGAAATTCTGCCGAAAATATATTAAAGTTATATTAAAAAACTGGCGAAACTTTGGAGAAAGGTTAATCTGCCTAAACTTATTATAAATGCCTAAACTGCCAAAACTCTGCCTAAACTATAATAAATCTATAGTAAAATTTTGACAAAACTAATCGTAGGATTTTGAGGAGGTTTAGACAAGCAACCTTATAAGTGATAGAAAAGAATTACTTAAATGGCAAATACATTCTATTATTGGAAATCTTTCATTATGCGAATTTTTTTATTCATTAGCCATTAAGTAAGTTTTGCCTGAAAATTTTATTAATAAAGATTATCATGAATTTTTGTTAAAAACAAAAGTGTGAGATTCCGTTAAAAGAGAATTTTTTGAGAAATCGTCTGAAAAAAAGATAGAAAACGAAACGTTAATATACGTTTCGTCAAAGAAATATTCAGAGAAAACTGAATTTCAACATTGTTTTTGGCTGTCTAAAAAGAAACCCGAATTTCCAAGCGTCCGACAGCCGAAATGAATTACATTTTCACAAGAGATCCGCTGAAACGAAAACGTAACCTAAAAGATAAATTTATAGTTTTTTCACTTCTAGAAAACATTTAATTTAGGTGAAGGGAAGATTTAAAAAGAGGAGGAAACGAAAGAGAGAGGGAAAGAGGGAAACGAAAGAGAGGGAGAGAAAGGGGAAGAACGAAAAAATGAAAAAAGGGAAAAACGAAAGAGAAAAGGGAAGTTTCATTAAAAAAAAGTTTAAAAAAGTTAAAATACATGAATACGTGATGCGACTGACGTGTGATACAGCTGATACACGTAATACATAATTTTATATTTGGTATGATGTCGATATTTATCCCTTAAAAAAATTTTCCGATATAATGGCCGATTTTTAATAATTACCAGTGTTCCGCAATTTTTTTTTAACAATTAGGTGATTGGTGAATTTTAAACGGTTCTTAAGACCAGAAATAGGTGATAAATCGGCAAACCTAATTTTGGTCGATTTTCACCCAGTTTTTAATGCAGGCCAGAACTTTATCGAAACTTCGGCCTGCATTACCGAAATTTGGCCGGCATGGTTGATTGCCGATTTTTCTTATTTCGACTAGTGTATCTGCATTGCCTTACTGGAAAACATTAAATACTGAACTATTTATGCTTTTAAAATCAAGGTAAGTTAATAAAGAACACTATTAATTTAAAAATTAAATAAAATATTAATATTTGGTATTAATAATTTATTTATTATTTAGCAAAAAATATGGATTTATTCAGAATATACCTGATAATATTTACTGCAAATTTGGGATTTTTTGTTATTCATCTGGCAATAATGCATTTTATGCATGTTTTCTGTGACGTGTTGATGAAAATAATCTAAGTAATGAAAAAATAACAAATAAATCTTATGTGATTTATAATCATTTAAAGAGTGACATGCCAATTTACTACACTCGATTTATGCGTATACAATTCAAAAATAAAGCTGATTTAATATTAGGTATGCCAACAAAAAATCACCAAATCTGTACCTTTAATATATCAAGAGTTAACTGGTGATTCTAGTACAACTGGTAATATGACAGAAAAGCAAGTTATATTATATACAAAACAGCTACTTATTAATGGTGATGATAAAATAGTAGTTGATTTACATAATGTTAATAAAAGTAGACCTGAACAATTTTCTGAATTTTGGAAGTACATTAAACAATATCTTAAAGAATATGCAGCAGTTAATGATAAATGACATGGTACAGTTGTACATTTAGCACATGCTATACAGTATGAGATTTAATTGCTTAAGTTGAAAAAATTTGTCCACCTAATACCTTAATTCCGTCAAAATAATAGTTGAAAATGCGATTTTCTCCTAACAATGAAGCTATAAAGGTATCAGAATATTATACTGAAAAATTAGGTATTAAATATATGGTTCAAACTCGTCAATTATGTATTGATCATCCTAATTTTCATTATGCGTCAGCATTATTCTAATATGAAAAAGAAATGGCAGAGAACCCTGCTTACTTATAATAAAGGTCACCGTAGAAAATTGGCCCTTTACTAATAGTTTTTATCTTACTTTTTTCTTAAATTCTATTGGTTAATTAGCTAAAAAAGAAAAAAATCATAACAATGTAACATAAAATTTCCTTTTATAGTAGGATCTGCTAAGGTTGCTTGCCGAAATCTAGGGGTTTAGGCAAGATGGCGTTTCACCAAAAAGCGAAATTCTGCCAAAACTATATTAAAGTTATATTAAAAAACTAGCGAAACTTTGGAGAAAGGCGAAACTGCCGAAACTTATTATAAATGCCGAAACTGCTGAAACTCTGCCGAAACTATAATAAATCTATAGTAAAATTTTGACGAAACTAATCGTAGGATTTTGAAGAGGTTTAGACAAGCAACCTTAGAATCTGCAAAGAATTTTATATATGATTTTTACCTTAGATTTGGAGGTAACCTATCTTATAATAAGTAAGCAGGATCTTGATGGCAGTTAAATATAAAGAATATTCAAACTTAATTTTCTTGAATGATAAACATTGTTGTAAAGTTGGTGAACCAAATCATCCTATAGCTGCTGTAAAATGAGAAAAATCTGTAATTGTTGCTAAAAAAATAACATTTGCTGTCACTGATTATGATTTTACAAAATGCTGACTTATTTCAAGTGTTATAATGTATGCAGAAATATCAAAGTCAATAAATAAATCATTTTATCGTAGTACTGTTTACGTGGACTTGAAGGATTCTATATTTAAACCATTAAGTGCAATGAAGCATGCTACCAAATTTTATGATATAATAAATAAAACAAATAAACCTTATTTTTTCCTATACACAAATGGTGGTCCAAACCATCAAGTAAAATATATTAAAACACAACTTTCACTTATTAGTTTATTTTTATCATTAGATCTAGACTATTTAGTAGCAGTACGTACACTACCTGGTCATTCTTGAAAGAATTCAGTGAAAAGAATTATGTCTATTTTAAATTTAGAATTGCAGTGTATTGGTTTTATGCGTCAAGAAATGGATACAGAATCAGAAAAAATTATATCACACTGTAATAGTATGAGTAATATTAGAAAAGCAGAGAAAAGAATTCTAGTTTAAAAGAAAATCTTAAGCAAAGTCTAAATCCTATAATTACTTTATTAAATGATATATTTCAATGATTATAATTGAAAAATAAAAATTTTGAAACCTTTGATTTTGGAATACAATTTGCTAATTAGATTCTGCAATCACTAAAGAAGATAAAAGCTGAGTAGATATAAAAAATAAAGTAATCATATTTTATGATATAGAAATTCTTTTTTGCGTATATATATCCTTAATTAATATATTAATAAAATTAATTTATTATTCTTAGAACCCCAGACATCTCTTATAGAACTCACAACTTTTTTATTTTCCATTTTTTGTGATTATCTTGATATCCAGTGATCCGATTCATGCAGATTTTTTTTTATTTTGTAGAGCTCGATAAGAGCTACAAAACAAAAAAAGTTCGTATAAATTGGACTACTAGATGCCAAGATAATTACAAAAAACTGATTTTTTTTTTGTAAAATTTAGGTCAATCTGTGAAAAAGTTGCTACTGAGTTGTATATGTAATGTCTGGGGTCCTTTATTCTTACTATTTTATCTATAACCAATAAGTGAATTTTTTAATCACTATTATCATTAAGGTTGCTGGAGAAACTAGAAAGTTTTGGCAAGTTGGCGAAATGCTAAAATAATGAAACTTTGCTGAAACTATATAAAAGTCTTATTAAAAAGTTGGCTGAAATTATAATAAAACTATAGTAAAATCTTGGAGAAACTAATCGTAAGATTTTGGAGAAGTTTAGGCAGGCAACTTTAGTTATCGTTCATGTCCTTATCATCAGGAAATTTTTTGGAAAGCAGATCTATGCAAATTTTCAGAAATTATATCTGCGCAGATCTTATACCCTGGTGCAAAACATCAGAGGAAAAATTTAATAAAAAACTGCATAGATTTTATAAATAACAAAGTTCTGTGCAGATTTTTGTTATTAAATTCTGCACATATTTTGCAAAATAAAAATCTGCAAAATTCATCAAAATAATAATAAATTATACAAATTTTGATTGTTATTTTAGCATTATCTAACATCAATTTATTAATTAAATGCACTGCAAATTTATCACTTTACTACACTATTTTATTATACATGTTGTTAATGGTTTGGATATTATTCCAGTTAGTTCGATTCCAACAAACAACTATTTAAATTTGCATTTAAAAAGTGTCCAGGAACTTATAGACATACTAAAAGTAGAAAAGTAAAAACATTCAGTTAGTTAGTAATGTTTCATTAAAAAAAATAAAATTTAAACTTTGAAGAATACCTTTGAAATTGCAATTCAAGAAGTTGCATATGGGCTGATTTGTCTTGTTATTTGACTTAAGGTAAAGGTTCACATTTAAGAACCTATTTATAGCATGGTAGTCCATAGGTACAATTAGTTGACTAATGTATACCAACCAACTGGTATGTGCAACCTGACCAATTATCACTACAACTGCCATTTTAGTTTGACCTCACCTCAAAATAGTCTTTATCCATCAACAGAATACTAACTGGCTAGCTATAACCCCCTACTCATCCTTTATCCATTCTAGAGACAAAACAAGCTCGAATTTATATGCCACTCTGGCATGTCTTAGTAATGGAAGACTTTTGGTGCAGATGTAATGGCAATCATCTAGAAACCCTTCCATACCAACATTTATACTTCAGAACTGAACTAAGGCTCACTCAAGGCCACTACAGTCCCACGATTCCTTAAACCCAAGGTACAGTTGTGAATTCCCCAATGGTATAGTAGTGACCACTGAGACAGAGAAAACATGAGATAGTATAGACTCGCTTGTTTGGGATTATTTCTAGTAGTGTCCTACTACCCAAACTGCCACCCGATACCCGCCTAGTGAGGAGTTGAACCCCATACCTCACCTAGTACACCTGTTTGTTTAGGAATATCCTAGTTGGCCTAAACCTATTAGAAGGTAAACTATCACAAAGTCATTGCACCCAGGATTTTACCATCTATAATGACCATCTAGCTACATTGGACCCCAAGTGGTATCATTTGAGTGACTACCTGAACAGAAAATTACCCCTAAGGTATGCAAGCAGTGACTTCACAGACAGGACTCCAAACATCCCAATGACCTCATAGGGAACGTTAGAAAGACACCATGACCCTTTGTTAAAATGTGCAGCCTAACTGTACACACTAATTCATCATAGTGCAGTTCAACTACCTAATCCCTGTATCTTCACGCTATTGGTAGTAGCATCTGCAGTAAAATTCTTTTTATTTCCGTGATTATGGGAATCGAACCTGCGACCTCACCATACTCAGGCTTAATGAGGGTTTCAGTAACCAACTATTGAGATAGGGTAATCAACCCATATATGAGCTGATTTGTCTACTCTGTATCAAAAAGAGTTATTGAATTGATTTTCACAATTTTCGTTACTCAAAATTGTTTTGTAATACCAAAAAATCATCTGATTGATAATCACTTGACTAAATAATAAGTTGAACAAAAATTTACATTTGCGAAACTTAAATTATTAAATGTAAAAGAGCTGTGAAAAAACCCATTTCACTAATAAAAAACCCATTTTTCATATATATGGAATTTTTAACATATATTATTAAAATGTAAGTATATTTTAATAAAATATAAAGTAAAATAAAAATTTATATAGTCTTAGTAGCTATAAATGTTTATAAAGTATAATAAAAATATCATATAAAAAATGGTATCATAGTAGATATTTTCAAACAATAAAAATAATTATTTTATGTCAGAATTTGTATTACCATCTTTAGACGCAAATATATCAAGATTCACTGATCCATTTTTTATAATTTTAGGCTCATTGGAAAGCCTTGTTCTGGACTTTATAGGCGAAAAAAGAGCTTGCCGATTGAATCATTAGATCCAGAGATATTTATATTTAAAGTTGAGGTATGAACTTTTTAACATGCTTAAATGCAAATATCTTGAAATCCACTGATCCGTTTTTTATAAATTTAGGCTCTTCGGAAAGCCCTTGATCTGGTCTATATGAGCAAAAAAAGAGCTTGCCGATTGGATCATTAGATCTGGAGATATTTATGTTTAAAGTTGAGATACAAATTTTTAATATATATAGTAAGTGCTAAGAATTATATTAATTTAAAAGAAATATTTACCAACTTATAGTATAATAACATTAAATAAAAGTTTTTTAATACTCACCCCCAATTTACTGTATATTATATAGTATTTTGTATAATAAAAATATAACAAAATCAATATTTTAATTAAAGGTAGACAAATCAGCCCATATGGCAGACCTACAAATTATATTTCTTTGAAAATCTTTATTTTTTTTCAAAGTTCCATCCAGATATCATCCAAAAAGTCGTTGACCTACCAACAGTATAAAAAGAAAAATGAGATATTAGTTAATATTTCATTAAAAAAAATAGGATCCTGGACATTACATATACAACTCAGTGGCAATTTTTTTGCAAATTCAGTTGACCTAAATTTCACAAAAAAAAATCAGATTTTTGCGATTATCTCAGTATCCAGTGGTCCAATTTATACAAACTTTTTTTTTTGTAGCTCTCATTGAACTCTACAAATAAAAAAAATCTGCATAAATCGGATTACTGGATACTGAGATAATTGCAAAAAACAG